CGCAACGCTTACATGGACATTCGAATGGTTGCTGTCTTGATCTGTACATCCATATGTTATTGTTACAAACAGGTTTTAGGATTTCGAGTAGTGTTTTTGCCGGCGCCAGCGGCATGAACGCACCCAGGCAGGTCGCCCGTCGCAAATAATTCCGTAGCGTACAGTTCAGTTTATTTTCATGGTATGTCGGAAGCACAGAGTACGACATATGCGAATCATGATAACCATCACACGTTCCAGTGACGTTATCCTTCAACATATCGTGGATATACTTGACATAACTTTGGGGCCTGGGGTGCTTTACGAATGACATTATAGTATTACGTGTTTGATCCGTTGTCGTAACAGCTTTGATCCCATACAACTTTTTCGCTTACTTGTCGTAGCAGCTTTGATCACGTACTACTTATGCGATTCGTTGCCGTAACAACTTTGATCGACATGCCGACTTGATTTTGTGGCCTGTCGTGCCCCGTGCATGAGTCTTGTTTTGGCATGATTTGATTATTTGTTTGCACGTACTTGCTCACAATATTTTTGAATTCAAAGCTTCGTGTTGATACGCACCCACATGATTTCCGTCCTTTTACACACGACGTAATGCGTGCCAGCGGAGACACGCGCGTCTGCATCTTCGACGCGGCATCGTTTCCCACTCCTTCTACCCCTTGTTCCCCCCACCTCGTCACCCGTGGAAGCGGGGAGTCGTCCAGGAGTGCCGGAAATTTTTTTTGGGGCGCACCCCAGGCCATATAAAGGCGGGTAGACCCCCCATGTAATTACTTTGCGTGACGTGGTTGGTGTGTTCTCTCTTTCCTAACCGTGACGGCCTCGTTTGGAGGCGGCAGGGGGTGGAAGGGTGTGTCGAGAAAACCTCACACCTTTGATCCCGAGCCCCGTTTACGTTTCCCGCGGGCCCGAGGCCCGTGTGGAGCGGGCGGGATTCGGGACGGTGTGTGTGTGTGTGTCTCTGTGCGTGTGTGTGTGTGTGTGTGTGTGTCTGTGTGTGTGAGGACCCCTTTCATATCACTGTTTTACCCATCCATCCTGCTCCCGTCTCGGCCCAGGAATTGGAAACTGGTACCGCGCCGCTTGCCCGCGGCACATGGGCAAAGCCCTCTCCCTGACCTCCTTGTGCTTACGGACATTTCAGTCGGTTCGGCTGTTCGGTCGTCGGCCTACATGTACCAAACCTTTTTTGCAGGAGCGGCGCACCTGGGGCGCCCTTGTAAAGAAGGGGGTTCGCTAGACACGTCGTTTAACTGCACGATTGTGCCTTTGCGCGTTCTTCACTGTTCGATGGAAGGATGCAAGGCAGCTCCTTTTCAAAACGGTAGTTACTCCCGCCTGAATGGCACGCCCATAACATGTTGGATTTCCAAGGGTGTTCAGTGGAGAGAAAGGCTTGCAGACATTGAAAAGGGAGGGGGCTCGCGGCGGGAAGGTGTATTAGAGCAGCGGTCACTCATGCTGGGTGTACTCTGGTCCGCCTCTTCTTCCTCCCCTTAGGATGTAAGCAGTCGCCCTTGCCGATTGCGCAGCAAGAGGAGTGTCACATTCGGAAGCTGCCGGTTTACATTCTGGGATCAAGGTCCATTGCCCGAGTATGTCCACAGCCACCGCTTCGGAGTCGTGCCCTGAGATCACGGGGGGTGGTCGATATGGATATGTGCCCGTCCGAATGGGCGGGCAGATATCCATACCCACCGATCCACGGGTCCTCGAGACACGAGTCAGCGGCAGTGGATTTGGTCATAGTTTGGCGGTGCGCAAGGTCCCCTAGGACACGTTTGACACGTTTGTCGTCGGATGCAGATTCATTCGTCGCGCTTGGAAGAGAATGGGTGGGTGCGGTAGGATGTCAGATGTTGCGCGGGCGCGCGCAGCTTGCCATCCCTTGTTTCTCTCCCGATCTCCCTTTCTTCCATTTTGTTCTTCATAGATTTCGGAACAGATCCAGCGCTTTTCCTATACCTCGGAAGCCGCGGATTTTTTGTGAAGCTTGATTGGCGCCTGTCCCCGCCGTGACCCATCCTTCCTTCCTCCCTCCCATTCCTTTCTTCGGCAAGCTGTTGGGTTTCAGGGGCCCGAAGCGTCAGAGGCGGCCACTACAGTAGCAGCTGCCACAAGAGCGAGGCGTACCTTGCACAGGGCAGCAGGAAATCCCGGTGGCATCGCGACAGTCGCCACCAGCAGCCTGTTCGAGGGAAGGTGGATGCAAGACGAAAGACCCCTCAATCACCCTCCATCCACAAGACAGCATCTCCACGGACTGCGGCGTCCGCGCCTGCCACCGAGCCCCATCCAGGGCCAGACGCGATCCGAGGCGGCTCAACCGTAAGATCCTCGTGCCCAAGACCCGCTCGAAAGCCATGGACAACCCTCTCCGCCTGATCCTGCTCATCACCTCGATCTCCACCTCCTCGTGAGACACTGCGCTACAGGACAGTATGGACTACAAGAGGGAGGAATAGGGAAGGTAGCGGGCGAGAGGAAGTCCAAGCGAGCACGACTGACAGCCAGGTACGGCAGCGGCTGGCGAAGTCGGCTTGCTCGCGCCATGCCGCCGTCACCCCTTTGCAGCGCCCCCGAGATTCCTCCTAGCGATGCCCGAGCCGTCGGATACGTGCCCACTCCAGGGGCGGACACAGGGGCGCTGCAGTGGGGCGGGCTTCCCGACACCAACATCCACTCTTTACTATGAATCTCCTCCACCTCGACTCCGCAGCTCTGTACACGAAGCGCGCGCGACGCCAACTCCAGCCCATGCGGGCCACGGGCCGCGAAGACTGTCTGAAGAGCTCGGATGGGACGAACCTCCAGACTTCAGCAGACCTGAGCACGGCAGCACAAGCTGCGGCTCCGCCGCTGCTGTCGGCGAGCTCGCAACTCCGTACGCGAAGCGCGCGCGACGCCCACACCAGCCCGTTCGGGCCGCGGGCCGCGAATACAGTCTGGAGAGCTCGGGCGGCATGAACCTCCAGACTTCAACAGAACCCGAGCACGGCAGCACTATGCTGCGGCTCCGCCGCTGCTGTCGGCGAACGCTGGCCCAAAGCAGGCCAAGCAGAGCAACCGCTGGACGACCCTCCTTGGAAACTCTCCTCCCGACACCTCCAGCACCACCTCCTCCGCTCTCTCCATGAGCGGCCGAATCTGGCCACCTAGCTGCGGCGCCCGCCGGCCACCTAGCTGCGGCACCGCACGGAAGGCTGGACCAAAAACGGAAAAGTCGAGAGCCTTCTGCATCCAGAAGGGCGAAGCAGTGCACCCGCCTCGAGTGGTCGACTGTGAGAGGCTGGCCACGGTGCTGGACAGCCAGAGTCACGGTCTCCCAATTCGACTGCAGCGATATTCGCCCTACGGTCTCGCCCCTCTACCTCCACTCCTCTGCCCCACATCCTCCGTGAATAGAGGGTGGATGTCTATTCTGCGCAATGCAGCCAACAGGGTAACTGCCTGGCGCTCCCCGACCTACACGATACGCGGCATTCAAATTGACAGATGTTGGCGCAACGCAGCGCTGCACGACGCTCGGCAGTGATGAAGACAATCTGCAATTGCGGCGCGAGGACAGCAGTCACGTGCCCGAGGGGGCAAGCACAACGCTGCATAAGGCATCGAATGCGGACTCGCTCATGCAACACTCGGCCAGCTTCTCCAAAATAGTCTCACGCGTCTCCTCGGTGATCTCCGAGATGACAATGTCGAAGACGTACGCCGTGGCCGGGACGGAAAAGTACTGGAACCTGAATGCCGCCGACGGAGAACGTGCAGAAGAACGTGCAGAAGAAATTCTCCACGACGATGAATGGGGGGTCGGCGTTCACAAGCAGGGCCTCGAAGTCACCCAGCGCGGCGATGCCACGCAGCCTCTGGCCTCTCGGCCGTCCAGAAGCACCTGCAGGGCTGGCTTCAGGCAGCTCTGCCGCCGCTGCCGCCGCCTGCCGCGGGCACCACCAGGGGCTGCCGCAGAAGGGGAGTCTGGAGGTATCCTCCCCTCCACCTCTGCAGCTCCTATGGCGGGCGCCTCGCTGCCGCCGCCCGCACGTGCGGCCCCACTGGCGGCCCCACCCCGAGTGGGCAACGGCTCCCTCCCGTCCCCCTCCTCCTCTCCACTCCCCTCGACATTCCCACTCCCCTCGCTTATTTCTTCACCCCCCCTTTCCCTTGTACACCCTCCAGGCCCCCACCCCCTGTCGCCCCTCCCCGAAGATAGCCCAAGGTCCACATTCTCTAGCGGCGCTTCTGCCTCATCTTTGTGCCCAGCTTGAAACAGTGCCTGCTGACCCAGAGCCCAGTGCTCAGCAGCCCCGCTCTGGTAAAGAAGCAATAAACACCGCGCTTCTCGGCGCAGCTTCTGAAAATTATATTCGGGGGAAGAGGAGGGGAGGGGTGGATCCGCCTCCCTCCCCTCCTCTCTCCTCACTTCTCCCATCATTCTCCTCCTGATTTTCATCCCCTCTGGCCCCGTCCTCCCCTCGTCCTCCCTTCTCCTTTTGCTCTCCTGCTTCTCTACTCCGATCCCCCCCTTCCCCTTCGCCCTCTCCAAGCACACGTCCCCCCTCCTCCTCCTCCTCCTCCTCCTCCTCCTTCTTCTCATCCTCCTGCTTTTTCTCCTCCTCCTCCTCCTCCTCCTCCTCCTCCTCCTCAAATCGTCCCCCATCATCCTCTCCCTGATCTGTTTTCTCCCTCCTCCTGCTGCTATCCCACGGCCACTTCTACGAGTCTTTCCCGACTTTGCCACGCCTCGGTGTAATCCCGATGCCGAGCAAGCGGCCCTGCTGGGACCCGAGGGTCCGGCTCCTGACTTCCATTCGGCATTCTTGAGGTTCGAAGAATGGCGCGGGCCCCTTGGGGGTTGTAGGGCCGAAGGAGCTTGTAGGGCTCGGCCAGCTCCTGCTTTGGCTTGGCTCCCTCTTGCATGGACCCTTTGGGCAACACGAAACAAGGGTGGAACAGTTCATGCGCTTCTTCTTGAGAGTATGCCTGCGACCAAGGTGCCTTCCTGTACGCCCCTGACTTCACCGGGTCGTCAGGGGACTGCAGCGCCGAGCTGCGGGCCAGCCTGGATGTGCCGGCCTGCCTGAAGGGCTTGCTGGCTTGGCCCGCCGAGAGGTGCTCCGGGGCCCAAGCATGCTCCTGCTGCTCCTGCTGTTCCTGCTGCTGATCCACCTTTTCTCGAGAGCGGTGCTCTCCGTCGCTCGGAATCCTAGGACCCAGGTCTGCCACGACCTTGTAAAGATGCTGGAACAGAAGGGATGCTCGTCATAGATATCTGTGTGCAGAACGCGTGCTTGCTCACTGATCCCATCCTCATCGTACGTCCTCATCCGGTTTCTTGCAATTCTGCCCCGCTTGACCTTCCTGTTCCCCTCCTCTTTCTGGAGGGGGCTGGGATGGGTGAGCCGGTGAGGGGGACGGGGCGTCGATGAGTTTTCCGCCTTTCCGGCGCCAAAGGTGGGCGCTGCTTTGCGACGAATGGCTCCTGAAGGCGAAGGGCAGCCCGCGTGTCGGGGTGACCGGCTTTCCGTCCAAGGCTCCAAGAGTCAAAGATTTGAGAGCGTGTTTTTTGGTGTTGCAAACAACATTGCGAGCCTGCTGGCTGCCTTTGCATGCTGGGATAATTGCGCGTCGGCGTGAGAGTTCCTCAGAGCGGGATCCAAACATGTTTTCGGTCTGGAGCTCCCCAGATCATTAAACAAGTCGAAAGTGGCCCAATACCCCCAGGTGGCCCCAGGCCCCGAGTCGATTGGATCCAACGGTGAGACCATTGTTCCAAGTGCCACCATTTCCCGGCCCCGCTGAGGCGTGCGGCGAGCGGATACAGTCGGAAGACGGAGCCCGCATCGCCGCGCAGAAGGAGAGCCTTGGCGAGGCGGGCTGCAAGGCAAAGGGGGAAGCCGTGGAGGCCGCTGAGGCATGGGTGTGACAAAGCTGGTCCCAGAGGAGAAGGAGGATACGGGAGAGGGAGGAGTGGTTGTGACCGCAGTCTTGCAGTTTGCATTGGGATCGCGTCTGGGCCGAAGGCCCAGTCCGTGCTCAGTGCAGCCCCGTCCCAGAGCCAAGCGCTGGCGTCATGGAAGGGGATGTGAGTCTAGGATGTGGTTGGCTTTACCTCTCTCCTGGAGGCAGAGAACGACGTCGACACTCCTGACGAGGTGTCCAGCCAGTTTGCGCTCCCAGACGTGGAGAAGATTCGGCTGGTGGAGGTATCAACTGTCACCGCTGTTGCAGGCGCTTGCACTGCCGTGTACGGCAAGGAAGTCGCCCAGGTGCCAGTTGAGCGAAGTCTCCATCCAAGCCGAATGGATCCCTTCCTCTGCTTCCCCCTCCTGCTCATCTTTCGAGCACACTCCTCTCTTCTCACTTCTGGCTCCTCCCTCCTCCCTCTAGTATTCTAGCGCGGCGACTGTGCCCTGTCTTAGCCTCACCCCCACCCATCGTGTGCCTTCTGGAGGTCTGGCTGCAGGCTTGTTGTTGCTCCTGCCACCTGCGCACCTGCATGTCTGGACACCTCGGACAGGGTGGGTGTTTTTGCCAAGGTCCGCTCGGACTTCGCTGCCTGCAGCTCGTGCCCCCTGAGCTGACCCTCGAAAGGCTGAGGAACCCCGCCCCGACTATTTCCGAGCGTGTGGTGCACCAATTCCCCAAGCCAGTGGCCCTCCGTGCTTTTCTCATTTGGGCCAGGGCCTTGCAGGTGCAGGCCAGCTTGGAGGCTGCGGCAAAGGCAGCGGGTGGCATGCCAGCCTGCTCGTTCCAGTTCGACCACGCGACAGGTGCTGGCGGGCTGGAAGTCAAGGGGCCCGCTTGGGGGGACGGGGTGTTCGCATGCCATTGCGGGGGTCGGGCTGGAGTGGGGCTTTGCGCCTCTCGGAGGACGAGCTTGGACCCCGGGAGCCTCGCTAAGGGCACGAGCCCGTTTCTTTATTGCTTGGGGCATGACGGGCGTCGTGGCCCCCAGCCCCCCCCCTATAACGTAACGATCCCCCCCCAGTGCGTTCCGGGCACTGCCCCCAGGCACATCGTGATCCGCATAGGTGTCCACACAGGAATCCGCACAGGAGTCTGGTCCGCAGTCGTCGTCGCCGTCGTCGTCGTCGTCGCAGTCGTCGTCGTCGTCGTCGTCGTCGTCGTCGCCGCCGCCGTCGTCGTCGTCGTCGTCGTCGTCGTCGTCGTCGTCGTCGTCGTCGTCGTCGTCGTCGTCGTTGTCTCTCGTCGCTCATCGCTCGTCACTCATCGTCGTCGTGCGCGCGGACGCAGCTGAAGCCTGCTTTTTTGTATTCCAGGCCGATGGCGGCAATCATTTGGGGGGGGGGGGGTGGGGCCGATGACGTCACGTTTCGCGCCGGCGGCGTCTGGGAATGCCGAGGAATCACCGAGGATGGGTAACAGCAGCATGTCGGTGGCGATTAGCACCACAACGCCTGTGTACACCATGGTGCCTGCGTGCACCACAGCGCTGTTGTACACCACACCGCCTATGTACACCACAGCAGCCGCGTGCATCACAGCGAATGTGTGCCACAGTGCCTGCTGGCGCCACAGCGCTTGTGTACACCACAGCGCCTGCGTACACCACATCAGCCGTGTGCAACACAGCACCAGTGTGCACCACAATGCCTGCGTGCACTCAGCACGGCAGTGAATAGACCATTCTGCGTTGCACGCTGAGACGCGCACGTGCGCTGTACTGCTGACTCGCACGGCAGGGGGGAAGGGTGAGGGAGGAGGAGAAAGAGGGCGAGGAGGAGGAGGAGGAGGGGGACGAGGAGGAGGAGGAGGAGGAGGAACCGCCTGCCGCGGATAAAAAAGGACTCCCTTTTACACGTTAGAACTGATTATCCACGGCCAAGAAGAGTTTGGTCAGGGGCGCGGGGCGCGGAGGCCGAACTTTTTTTATCACTGTCAAAAGTTCACCATCGAGGTCAACTTCTTTTTCATGTTGAGATAGCAACTTCAAACGAAGCGAAGACGTTGTCGAGGATGTCTCAAGCGAGACCAACCATTTTATGAGACAGCCTCAAGTGAAACGATCAGTTGTTCAAAGATGTTTCGAGCGGAACGAACAGTCATCCGGGGATGTATCAAGCGAAACGAGAGACTTGTCGATGATGTCTCAAGCGAAACAAGCTTTATTTCGAGGGTATCTCAAGCGAAGCGAGCAATAACAATCTCCGTAGTCATTTGGTGGCTCTAGATTTCGGGATTTCCAAGATACTCACAAACCAATACCCAAGCCGACGCACCAAGGCGCCAAGGCCCCAAGTCTCGAGCATGTCTCTGCCGAGCTTCTTCGACGAGGGAGAGATGCTCGAGATCAACACCCAGCTACCGCTCGAGACAGTCAAGGAGAGCGAGAAGCTCGAGGAACGCGAGAAGAAAGAGAAATCGTTTTTGGACGTCAAGGCGAGCGGGAGCGAGAAGCCGCTCGAAGGCGCCAAGGGCCAGAAACGCAGCAAGGGGCTGCTCGAGGTCGCGAGCAGCAGCGCCAACGAGGACAAGCGAGACTGGCAGAAGGCCAAGCGCCGCAAGTCGGCACCGCAGCCTGAGGACGAGGGCCAGGACGAGAAGCCCGAGGACGACGACGGCAAGCGCCACAAGCTTGAGCCCGAGCCCGTTGTAGAGGCGCTCGCCGAGCAGCTCCAGCGCAAGGTGGCGCTCGACGGCGCGCCCTAGTTAGTGGGTTGCCCGAGAAGGCGCTGGCGCCAAGAAGACAAGCTCGAGGGGTGCCTCGAGCGAAACGCTTTCAAACTTCCAGACGGTCTCAAGCGAAGCGGTACATTTCTTAAGGACGCCTCGAGCGGAGCCAGCAATTCTTCTCGAGGATGTCCCACGCGACACGAGAGACTTGTCCTGGATGTCTCAAGCGAAACAAGCATGCCTTTCAAGCGAAACGAAGATTTGCCCGAGGATGTCTCAAGCGAAACGAGAGATGCGGTCGAGGATGTCTCAAGCGAAACAAGAAATTGCTCGAGGATGTCTCCGGCGAAACGAGACTAACGACTGTCTGTATCTAGAACGAATCTATCTCAATCGCAAAACCTTAGTACTTCCAAAGGAACTTGTCAGAATTCGTAGGACATCGCAATGAATTCCCAGGGAGTCACTCGGCACTTTCGGAATTCATAGGGAGGAGGAAAAGGGGGGGAGGAGAACGAGGAGGGAAAGAAGGAGGAGGAGAAGGAGGGGGGGGAGGAGGGGTCTCGGACAGGCACAGAACTACATTTTGGGCGAGTGGATTAGCTTCCTGCGCGGGTCCCCAAATTCCACACTTACTTTTGCGACGTCGTCTTACGTACTGGTTCGCCCGCCATTCGAGGGGGCCGATCGCGCCTGTCGGATTTGCTGCGGCCTCGACGTCGTTTGCCAGTGTCAGTGTGGAATCAAGACTTGCGCCTCGCGAGTGGATTGGAGGATGAGCGCAAGGTGAGTGGTTCAGCTGCGGGGGGGGCGCAAGCGTTTGCCGCCGCGCAGGGGCCGGGGGCAATTGGGGAACGCCCAGGGAAATGGAGGGCGGCAGGTAGAGGAAGAACGGGGGAGGGGGGGGGCAAAGCAGCGGGCGGGAAAGGGGGAACATAGTGCCCAGGCGAGATGCACTGATAAGGGGGGGCGGCGTGGGCGGAGGGCGCAGTTGGAATTCTTTCGGGTAGCCCCCTGGGACGTTCAGACACCTCCGCCCAGTGGTCGGCAGGGGGTTCAGCGGCCCTTGCCTTCCTGACTCTGCGGGCGGGGCGCGACGACGCACCCGACCTGGACCCCGTCCCTTTCGCTCGGTTCCGGTCTGTGAGTGCTCGCCCCTCGCGCCGGAGACATCTTTCACAAAACGGAGCACTTATAGAACTCCACCTAGCCAACGGGTCGGGGTGCGTGTCGGGCGCCGCCACTCGCATTCCCAACGTGCACCGCGCCCCGGTCGCTAGGTGCCGTTCTGTACGCGTCCCTTTTCGCGAAGCGTCGGCTGCCCGCGTTGCCCGTCGCCGAGGCCCCGCCCCATGTGCCGCTTCCCGCCGACGCCCCACATCCCCCGCTCAGCGAAGCCATGCGTGTGCCTGGGGGCCTCGACCTCGCGCAGCCCGCCCCCCTCCCCCGCCTGTGCCCCAGCGGCAAATTCGCGATCCGACCCCCCGCGCTTTCGAGTTCTTCTTCGTGCCGGGTCCCCCGTCCGAGGGTGAAGCGATTGTTCGCGTTCTGATTGTTCTTGCGGCTGCCGCCAAGCGTCGCCGTGAAACATGATGATCGCCCCCGCGCTTGGCACTCGTCGTCGGCGCGACCGTCGCCTTCCATCGTAGGTCGCGAGGCGGCGTCCGTCAACCCAGACCGACCGACGCGCCAAATCAATTTATGATTGCCAGCCCTGGCCCCCGCAACAAGGTGCAGTTTTGTTGTGTGTAGTTGTAGATGCGTTCGAGGGTCGCGGCGAGGCCGACCGAGCAGGGCGAGCTGAAGGTCGTCGCGGGCGAGGGGCCCTGGAGCTACTCGACCGAGGCTGGCCGAGGCGTCGAACCGAGGCTGGCCCGGGAGAGGCTCCAAGCCATCGAGAGATGGCCCGAGAACCCCCCCCCCCCCCCGGTGCCGGACTGGGGCGCCCTAGACGGCGAGTGCTTCCAGCTCGAGGACTTGCCGACGGACTACAGGGGCGACGAGAACCCCTGCCTCCTCGAGCTTGCAGAGCTGGACCTCGAGCTCGCAGACGAGCAGCGAGACGTGCTCAGGCCGCCCGAGGGGCGCATCGAGGACACCCACTTCCCGCGCGCCCTAGCAGGCCGAGTCAAGGTGAAGCGAGCCATCCGCCGCAAGAACAAACGGGGGGCAAGTTCGGAGGCCAGTTCCCGGGCATGCTGGCGCCCAAGTGGAACCGGGCGAAGCGCGAGGAGGATGGCAAAGAGGCCCTCGAGAGCAAGAGCCGAGGCGTCGCCGAGGCGAAGCTTTCAGGGCGAGCCCCCAAGTCGAAGGCCACCTGCGCAGAGAAGCTCAAGCAGAAGCAGCAAGCGAGGCGGAACAAGACGCGGCACGACAAGAAGAAGGACAAGGAGGGCCTCGAGCCTCGCAAGGACTTGCCCTGGCGCAGCACGAGCGCTCGCGTCAGCGAGAAGGGCGTCCACGAGGGCAGGCGCGGCAGAGTTCAAGACGTCTGGCGCGTCAAGGACTGCTAGGGCGAGTGCCAGTTCCGCGTGCTCGAGGTCGAGGCGGCGGCGATCTTCCAGATCCGCTCCAGCCAGGCTCGAGGGCCAAGAGGGCGCGAGCGGAGGGGCCGGCGGAAGCCGAGCGGAAGCTGGCGCGGAAGCCGAGCGGGAGCTCGCGCGGAAGCCGAGCGGAAGGGCAGAGGAAGCCGAGCGAGAGCTCGCCCCTATCCATCGGCCCCCGAGCCTGCGAGGTCGTGCTCGAGCAGGAGTGTGCGCCCGCCAAGCCCGTCAAGATAGACTGGCGAGTGCGCAGGATGAACAAGCGCGCCGAGCTCGCTAAGCGTCTTGCGATCACGAACGGCGAGTTCATCGAGAAGAACCGCGCCCTCGAGCACGGCGCGCCGCGCGCCCTCATGGGCGAGACCGAGGAAAGAGTCGGCGCCCCAGAAGGCGCGATGCTAATCGAGCCAACGCTCGCGGTGATGCGGGCTCGAGAAGATCAAGGCGAGGGCGCGCCAACTGCCGAGGCCCAGAAGGAGCAGAAGGCGTGGCGCGAGAGAGTCGAGAACGCCGAGCACCTGCTCATCTGCGTGCAGAGCGAGAATCCCTCGCATTACACCTACCTCAAGGTGGCCAAGGAGGGCGCCGACGTG